ACGAAGGAAAGAGGGAGGGAAGGAAGGAAGGAGAGAAAGAGGGTGAGAAAAAAAGAAGGAAAGAGAAGGAAGGAGGGAAGCAAAGAGCAAAGGAAGGGAGGAAAGGAAGAGGTAGAGAAGGAAGAAAGGAGAGAAAGAAGGTAAAGAACAGAGGGGAGGGAGGAAAGAGAAGGAGAGAAAAAAAAGGAAGGAACGAAGGAAAGACGGAGGGAAGTAAGGAGAGAAAGAAGGCGGGAAAGAAAGAAGGAAAGAGAGAAGGAAGGATGGAAGCAAAGAGCAAAGGAAGGGAGGAAAGGAAGAGGTAGAGAAGGAAGAAAGGAGAGAAAGAAGGTAAAGAAAAGGGGGGAGGAAAGAGATAAGGAAAAAAAGGAAGGAACGAAGGAAAGAGGGAGGGAAGGAAGGAAGGAGAGAGAGAGAAAAGGGAGGGAAGGTTGGCCACAGCAACGGTAACAGACAAATGAGTGTCCATCACTCATAACCCCCCCCCAAAAAAAACAGTCGAAAGGACTTAAAAAACCCCAAAAGATAAATGATGAAAAGATAAATGAGATACAGAAAAAAATGGAAGGAAGAGGGAGGGAAAAAGAAGGGGAAAGGAAGGAAGGAAAGAAACAGCAAAGGAAGAAAGGAAAGAAGTAGAGAAGGAAGAAAGGAGAGAAAGAGGAAAAGAAAAGGGGAAGGAAAGAAAGGGGTAGAGAAGGAAGGAAGGAGAGAAGGAAAGAAAAGGAAGGAAAGGGGGAGCGAAGGAAGAAAGAGAAAGAGGGAAGGAAAGAAGGAAGGATCAAAGGAAGGAAGGAAAGAGAGAAGGAAGAAAGGAGAGAAAGAGGAAAAGAAAAGGGGAAGGAAAGAAAGGGGTAGAGAAGGAAGGAAGGAGAGAAGGAAAGAAAAAAGGAAGGAAAGGGGGAGCGAAGGAAGAAAGAGAAAGAGGGAAGGAAAGAAGGAAGGATCAAAGGAAGGAAGGAAAGAGATAGAGAAGGAAGAAAGGAGAGAAAGAGGAAAAGAAAAGGGGAAGGAAAGAAAGGGGTAGAGAAGGAAGGAAGGAGAGAAGGAAAGAAAAGGAAGGAAAGGGGGAGCGAAGGAAGAAAGAGAAAGAGGGAAGGAAAGAAGGAAGGATCAAAGGAAGGAAGGAAAGAGATAGAGAAGGAAGAAAGGAGAGAAAGAGGAAAAGAAAAGGGGAAGGAAAGAAAGGGGTAGAGAAGGAAGGAAGGAGAGAAGGAAAGAAAAAAGGAAGGAAAGGGGGAGCGAAGGAAGAAAGAGAAAGAGGGAAGGAAAGAAGGAAGGATCAAAGGAAGGAAGGAAAGAGATAGAGAAGGAAGAAAGGAGAGAAAGAGGAAAAGAAAAGGGGAAGGAAAGAAAGGGGTAGAGAAGGAAGGAAGGAAGGAGAGGGAAAGAAAAAAGGAAGGAAAGGGGGAGCGAAGGAAGAAAGAGAAAGAGGGAAGGAAAGAAGGAAGGATCAAAGGAAGGAAGGAAAGAGATAGAGAAGGAAGAAAGGAGAGAAAGAGGAAAAGAAAAGGGGAAGGAAAGAAAGGGATAGAGAAGGAAGGAAGGAGAGAAGGAAAGAAAAAAGGAAGGAAAGCGGGAGCGAAGGAAGAAAGAGAAAGAGGGAAGGAAAGAAGGAAGGATCAAAGGAAGGAAGGAAAGAGATAGAGAAGGAAGAAAGGAGAGAAAGAGTAAAAGAAGAGGGGGAAGGAAAGAAAAAAGGAAAGGGGGATCGAAGGAAGAAGGGAAAGAGGTAGAGAAGGAAGAAAGGAGAGAAAGAAGGAAGGAGAGAAGGAAAGGGAAAAAAAGGAAAAGAAGGAAAGAGGGAGCAAAGGAAGAAGAGAAAGAAAGAGAAAGAGGGAGGGAAGTAAAGACAAAAGGAAGGATGGAAGCAAAAAGCAAAGGAAGGAAGGAAGGAAAGAGGCAGAGAAGGAAGAAAGAGAAAGGGAAGGAAAAGAAAAGGAAAAGGGAGAGGTGAAGAAGGAAGGAAGGAAAGAAGAAAAGGGAAAGAGGGAAAGCAGGAGAGAAAGAGGGAGGGAAGGTTGGCCACAGCTAGTAATAATAATAATAATAATTATTATTATTATTATTATTATTATTATTATTATTATTTTATTTTCATACCCCGCCAACCATCTCCCCTAGGGGACTCGGGGCGACTTACAAGGGACATGCCCAAGATTACAATTAAAACACACATTATTATTATTATTATTATTATTATTATTATTATTATTACACACATGTAAAACACTTTAACACTCAAATCAGATAAAACAAATAACAACACAATTGAAAGCAATATAAAAACAATACAGCTGAAAGAAACATAGCTGAGGTACAGATTCAATGAGTGCAATATATCTTTACAGGAGCGCAGGAAAGCGCAACAATACAGTAAACTGGGCAGGAAATACTGTCATAACACATGTTGAGGTAGAACGTATGCCAGTGTAAAATGCGGGCCGGTGTAAGTGCGGAACTTCAAGTAGGGACAAGAAAGTTACTGGTGAGCTGCTTAGTCAAAAGCAGGGGTCCTCAAACTACGGCCCGCGGGCCACTTCCGGCCCGCCAAGGGCACTTATCCGGCCCGCGGAGGAGCGCCCCCCCCCCACACAGTGCCCCTACCTTGGCTGGCTCACGCTATCCGTCAGGCCATGGGCAGCATGAGCCAGCCAAGGGCGGCTGTCCGCGTGGCCTACTCGCGCATAAAGCACCTCGCGAGTAGGCCACGCGGAGCAACTCCCTTGGCTGGCTCACGCTGCCCATCGGGCCTGATGGATAGCGTGAGCCAGCCAAGGGAGGCTGCCCCGGCGCTCCATGCAGTCATGCCGGCCACATGACCTTGGAGGTGTCTATGGACAACGCCGGCTCTTCGACTTAGAAATGCAGATGAGCACCACACCCCAGAGTCAGACACGACTGGACTTCATGTCAGAAAAAGGTCTGGAGAACAAGCCCTATGAGGAACGGCTTAAGGAGCTGGGCATGTTTAGCCTGAAGAAGAGAAGGCTGAGAGGGGATATGATAGCCATGTATAAATATGTGAGAGGAAGCCACAGAGAGGAGAGAGCAAGCTTGTTTTCTGCTTCCCTGGAGACTAGGACGCGGAACAATGGCTTCAAACTACAAGAGAGGAGATTCCATCTGAACATGAGGAAGAACTTCCTGACTGTGAGAGCTGTTCAGCAGTGGAACTCTCTGCCCCGGAGTGTGGTGGAGGCTCCTTCTTTGGAAGCTTTTAAATAGGGGCTGGATGGCCATCTGTCAGGGGTGATTTGAATGCAATATTCCTGCTTCTTGGCAGAATGGGTTGGACTGGATGGCCCATGAGGTCTCTTCCAACTCTTTGATTCTATGATTCTATGACTACTCGCGTGTAAAGAACCTCGCGAGGTGCTTTACGCGCAAGTAGGCCACGCGGAGCAGCTGCCCTTTACTGGCTCATGCTGCCCATCGAGCCTGACGGATAGCGTGAGCCAGCCAAGGGAGGCTGCCCTGGCGCTCCATGCAGTCATGCCGGCCACATGACCTTGGAGGTGTCTAGGGACAACGCCGGCTCTTCAACTTAGAAATGCAGATGAGCACCACACCCCAGAGTCAGACACGACTGGACTTCATGGAAAATTGTGGAAGATCCAGGGTGGGAGAAAGAACTCTTGTCTGTTGGAGGTAGGTATGAATGTTTCAATTGGCCACCTTGATGACCATTTCATAGCCTGACAGTTTTTAGGGAGAATCCTTTGTTGAGAGGTGATTAGCTGGCCCTGATTGTTTCTTGTCTGGAGTTCCCCTGTGTTTGAGTGTTGTTCTTTATTTACAGTTATAATTTTAGAGTTTTTTTAATACTGGTAGCCAGATTTTGTTCAGACTAGAAATAGGAAGATTTCCCATTCTCTGCTCCTGGAATTACTGCCTAAAGAGGGCCAGAAAGAACCTCTCTGTTTGTTCCTCCTGATGCTAATGAAAGTATATTTACTGATGCTAGTGGAAATGTACCTTTTGATGCCAATGCTCCTGAAATGAGTGAGGAAGAAACTGCTGTAGGTTTGGAAAATGCCAATGTTCCTGAAATTAGTGAGGAAGGAACTTCTGTAGATTTGGAAAATGAAAGTACCAGTGTTCCTGAGAATGTTTCAGAGGGAGACCTTGAACTTTCCCTCCCTTCTGCACCTGTTAACTGTAATGACAACAGAAGGGGCCAAATTTGGGAAGACAGAAGTAAATCACTCAGTTTGCGTCGATCCTCCCGAATTCAAGAATTAAAAACATTGGCTTCAAAACAGAAGGGCGGTTCACGGAACCAATTCTTGAGTTTTAATTTCCTTACGCTGGGCTGACTGTCTCAGTTCAGGCATCGTTTCAGAATTGATGAAGACCTTGGCAGTTCTCCCGGTTCCCTGGCCATAGTTTGGGAAGATTTCTAGGATATCAAGTACGGTTAGTGGATTGCTAACAGGTTCCAGTATTTCACAGTGAGACTTTTGGTTTTGCTTTGTCCATTTAAATTCATGTTTGCTGATTTTGCTGTGGCTTTTGACTTGCATTTTTCCTTTATTTTGTAACCATTTTTCTTCAATAAAAAAGGATTGTTTTTCACAGCCAAGTGTGGTGGATAGTTATCTTAGGGCCTCGTTCCCTGCTCTGGATTGCAACAGAAATTTAGGTACCGCTTATGCGGGGAGGCTAATTTACGACGCCATAAAAATCTCCAGCAAGACTGCAAAGAATGAGGAAGTACTTCATCAGTGTCACAAATGGACAGTGAAGCAACAGCTCCCCTGGTGGCCAGAATACCCTCAAGAAAAAGCTGGAATGTGAAAGGGGAAAGGATGTGCCCATTTGCTTATTGATGTGCCCATTTGCTTATGGAACCTATTTCCTTCCCATCTCCAAAAGAGCTACCCAAATCCCCTTCCAAACCATCATAGAATTACAGGGACAGCCGCAGTACTTTCTAGAAAATTGTACCACAAAACATTGGCAATGGCTAAGACCCGTTCCTTTTAGTCCTCACTTACCCATCAAGGGTTGGAATCAAAAGCGCCGGCGGTGGAGCGAGAGGCGGCGGGAACAGCCCTGGAAACAGAAGCAGAGTTGGGGAAAGACTTGAGAAAGGGCGGCATGTCCCCAAAAGCATCACATCATTTATTACATCGGGCTCTTTCCTCCATTACGGAGCTCAGGACGGAACGGCAGGTCAATCTGTGGTGTTTTGAGCTCCAGATAGTGTACTGGAGTGCAGTTGACTGCCAAGACCATTTCTGAGGCCGTCACTAAGAGGACCCTCTATGAACGATTCAGAGCTCTGTTATTATAGAATACTTGGGTAGACATCTATAACATGTTTTTCTATTACAGGTTTGTATAAATGTACTAACTTCCCCCACGAAAATTCCCCGCAAGAGCTACATGCCTTGTAACCTTGCTTTCTGGATAACCCTTGTACAGCGTGAACTTCACACTTGGAGGGAAACGAAATGAGGATGCTCATCTCTAACTAGTTGATGAGCTACTGACGACTGGCATTGCTCGTTTGCTTCCACTGGCTTCCCGCTACACAGCAGTGATACCAACTTCCCCCACGAAAATTCCCCGCAAGAGCTACATGCCTTGTAACCTTACTTTCTTGATAACCCTTTTACAGTGTGAACTTCGCACTTGGGAGGGAAACAAAATGAGGATACTCATCTCTAACCTTCACCACAATGCCAGTCAATGAGCTACTGACGACTGGCATTGCTCGTTTGCTTCCACTGGCTTCCTGCTACACAGCAGTGATACCAACTTCCCCCACGAAAATTCCCCGCAAGAGCTACATGCCTTGTAACCTTGCTTTCTGGATAACCCTTGTACAGCGTGAACTTCACACTTGGAGGGAAACGAAATGAGGATGCTCATCTCTAACTAGTTGATGAGCTACTGACGACTGGCATTGCTCGTTTGCTTCCACTGGCTTCCCGCTACACAGCAGTGATACCAACTTCCCCCACGAAAATTCCCCGCAAGAGCTACATGCCTTGTAACCTTACTTTCTGGATAACCCTTGTACAGTGTGAACTTCGCACTTGGGAGGGAAACGGAATGAGGATACTCATCTCTAACCTTCACCACAATGCCAGTCAATGAGCTACTGACGACTGGCATTGCTCGTTTGCTTCCACTGGCTTCCCGCTACACAGCAGTGATACCAACTTCCCCCACAAAAATTCCCCGCAAGAGCTACGTGCCTTGTAACCTTACTTTCTGGATAACCCTTGTACAGCGTGAACTTCGCACTTGAAGGGAAACAAAATGAGGATACTCATCTCTAACCTTCTCCACAAAGCCAGTCAATGAGCTACTGATGACTGGCATTGCTCGTTTGCTTCCACTGGCTTCCCGCTACACAGCAACGAGACCAACTTCCCCTGAGAAAATTCCCCGCAACAGCTACATGCCTTGTAACCTTACTTTCTTGATAACCCTTGTACAGCATGAACTTCGCACTTGGAGGGAAATGAAATGACGATACTCATCTCTAACCTTCACCACAATGCCAGTTGATGAGCTACTGACGACTGGCACTGCTCGTTTGCTTCCACTGGCTTCCTGCTACACAGCAGTGATACCAACTTCCCCCACCAAAATTCCCCGCAAGAGCTACCTGCCATAGAACCTTACTTTCTAGATAACCCTTTTACAGTGTGAACTTTGCACTTGGAGGGAAACGGAATGAGGATACTTATCTTTAACTTTCACCACAACACAAGTTGATGAGCTACTGACAACTGGCACTTCTTGTTTGCTTCCACTGGCTTCCCGCAAACTTCCCCTGAGAAAATTACCTGTGCCTTGTAACCTTACTTTCTGAATAACCCTCATATATATTGTATATTGTATATACTACAACTTATGATATAATACTATCATATATATAATTTTTTTTTGTCGTGTCAGGAGTGACCTGAGAAACTGCAAGTCGCTCCTGTTGTGAGAGAATTGGCCGTCTGCAAGGACGTTGCCCAGGGGATGCCCGGATGTTTTGATGTTTTACCATCCTTGTGGGAGGCTTCTCTCGTGTCCCCACATGAGGAACTGGAGCTGATAGAGGGAGCTCATCCGGCTCTCTCCAGATTCGAACCTGTGACCAGTCAGTCTTCAGTCCTGCCGGCAAAGGGGTTGAACCCACTGTGCCACCAGGGGCTCCATATTATAGAATGATATTATATCATTATATAATACAGGGTTAGTCAAAATGAATAGGCCAATAAGAAAATTAATTTTAGACAAATGTATGTTTACTGTAACCAAACCACAGCTACGTAGCGACAGATAAACTATCAAAGTTTTGTCTCACCTTCAGAGATGTTCGATATGGGCGCCCCGTGTGACACGGCAGATGTCCAAGCGATAGTCCAGTTCATTCCACATCCGTTGCAGCACATCCGACGTAATGGCATCGAATGCAGCAACGTCTGGGAAGGTGTTCGTTGAGGTCCTAACCCTAACCCTAACCCTAACCCTAACCCTATCCCTAACCCTAACCCTAACCCTAACCCTACCCTAACCCTATCCCTAACCCTAACCCTATCCCTAACCCTATCCCTAACCCTAACCCTATCCCTATCCCTAACCCTATCCCTAACCCTAACCCTATCCCTAACCCTAACCCTAACCCTATCCCTAACCCTATCCCTAACCCTAACCCTATCCCTAACCCTAACCCTAACCCTAACCCTATCCCTATCCCTAACCCTAACCCTAACCCTAACCCTACCCTAACCCTAACCCTTGAAATTCTCGCTGGACCGTAATTACTGACATTGTTTTAGCAAATGTCATCACACAAAACGCCTTCTCTTTGCTTGATTCCGCCATTTTGAAAACAGCGACCCCTAGCGACGCCTAGCGGCATTAACGTACATGTGTGTTGCTCAAAAAAAACTTTGATAGTTTATCTGTCGCTACGTAGCTGTGGTTTGGTTACAGTAAACATACATTCGTCTAAAATTAATTTTCTTATTGGCCTATTCATTTTGACTAACCCTGTATTATATAATACGAATAGTATAATATATTAGGAGCCCCCGGTGGAGCAATGGGTTACACCACTGAGCTGCTGAACTTGCTGACCCGAAGGTCAGTGGTTCGAAACAGTGGGGTGGGAGAGCTCCTGCTGATAGCCCCAGCTTCTGCCAATCTAGCAGTTCGGAAACATGCAAATGTGAGTAGATGTCAGACTGTAGGATCTATATAGCAATATTAAATATCCACTCACAAGCCGTTTTTGCTTTGAAATTGATATATTGCTTGTATCTCTGCAGCAAAGAAAGACACTACTGACTTTTCCCCACCACCACTTCCTTTTATACACCTTTCCTGCCCATCTCCCCCCTCTCTCAGTTTCCTTGTTAGAACTTGTTGCTTGGAGGTGTCTATGGACAACGCCGGCTCTTCAGCTTAGAAATGGAATTGAGCACCAACCCCCAGAGTCGAACTTGACTAGACTTAATATCAAGGGGAAAGCTCTTGATATTTACTAGGATTTCACACTTGCAGTAGGATCCCCATAACAGTGGAAACCCATATCTATGTTCCTCTCCATTGGCCTTCCCTGCAATTCCAGGTCATACCTATAATTTATTGTGACTCCATTTATTTATCTCTGGACATCGTGTGCCCCTGAAAACGGCAGGAAACCAATCAAAGCGACTGAATGGATGTATTCTGAAAGTTTGCTGTTGTTACTCAAAGGAAGTGAAGCACACATACCTGGAATGGGGCCAGCGGGTGGTAAACCTGCACAAATCAAGAGGACCAAGTTAGGAGAACAGCAGAATGCACCCTCTTTTGAAAATAGCCCAGTTCATAAAAAGCTAGGGAGTCTGCCTTAATGGAGCAAAGGTGGGGGAAAGCTTTTGGGATGTGGCCAACAATTTGGCTCGCGAGTTTATACCACTTTGACACATCCTTTATGTAAGTCACGACAAGCACACATATCTGTCTACCTACCTGTCTGTCTGTCTGTCTGTCTGTCTGTCTGTCTGTCTGTCTGTCTGTCTACCTACCTACCTACCTACCTACCTACCAGGCATGTAGCCGGGGGGGGGGGGGCTTGGGGGCTTCAGCCCCCCCCCCAAATTCTCATGGTGGTTCGCGAAAAGGCCTTCCTGGTGCATTATTTAAACTGTTATGTTTATTCATATCATGATCTGATCACCATACTCAATATATCCCATATGCATGGGGGTATTGGGGTAACGATACAAAAGGTTTGCTAGGGTAGACCCTCTTTCACTCAGACTCCCCCCCCCCCCCGAACCCCCCCCTGAAAAAAATTCAGCCCCCCCCCCCCCGAAATGAAATCCTGTCTACGGGCCTGCTACCTACCTATCTTTCTATCTGTCTATCTTTCTATCTATCTATCTTTCTGTCTGTCTGTCTGTCTGTCTGTCTGTCTGTCTGTCTGTCTATCTATCTATCTATCTACCTACCTACCTATCTTTCTATCTGTCTATCTTTCTATCTATCTTTCTGTCTCTATCTATCTATCTTTCTATCTATCTGTCTTTCTATCTGTCTATCTTTCTATCTATCTATCTTTCTATCTGTCTATCTTTCTATCTATCTATCTATCTATCTATCTATCTTTCTGTCTGTCTATCTATCTATCTACCTACCTATCTTTCTATCTGTCTATCTTTCTATCTATCTTTCTGTCTCTCTATCTATCTACCTACCTACCTACCTATCTATCTATCTTTCTATCTATCTATCTTTCTGCCTGTCTATCTATCTATCTATCTATCTATCTATCTACCTACCTACCTACCTATCTTTCTATCTGTCTATCTTTCTGTCTGTCTGTCTGTCTGTCTATCTATCTATCTATCTATCTTTCTATCTATCTATCTATCTATCTATCTATCTACCTACCTACCTACCTATCTATCTGTCTATCTTTCTATCTATCTTTCTGTCTCTCTATCTATCTATCTATCTATCTATCTATCTATCTATCTATCATTCTATCATTCTATCTATCTATCTATCTATCTATCTATCTATCTATCTCTTTCTATCTATATCTTTCTATCTGTATGTCTGTCTATCATCTATCTATCTATCTATCTATCTATCTATCTATCTATCTATCTATATTTCTACCTACCTACCTATCTTTCTATCTGTCTGTCTGTCTATCTATCTATCTATCTATTTTATTTATTTATTTATTTATACGCTTGTATACCGCTAATATCTCAGCCTAAGTCGGCGACTCATTGCGGTTTACAACATTTAAAAAACAGTATTCAGTTTAAAAGCATAAAACACATATACAATACAAATTATTGGGCCACCAATAATAATCCCAAGCATCTCATAACTGGAATCGCAGTCCAAAATTCATCGTCCATGATTACCAATCCTTTAGTCAACAAAATTCGTTGCAACGGATTAACCGAATGCTTGTTTAAACATCCATGTCTTCAATCTCTTCCGAAACACCATCAGCGAGGAGGCTGATCGTACCTCTATAGGGAGGGTGTTCCAAAGCCGAGGGACCACCACAGAAAAGGCCCTGTCTCTCGTTCCCGCCAGCCGCACTTGGGAAGCCGGCGGGATAGAGAGCAGGGACTCTCCAGAAGATCTTAGGGTCCTGGTGGGCTGATAGGCTGAGATACGTTCGGATAGATCAGTTGGGCCAGAACCGTTTAGGGCTTTAAAGGCCAACGCCAGCACTTTGAATTGAGTCCGGTAGCAATCGGCAGCCAGTGGAGCTGGTGCAGCAGAGGAGTTGTATGCTCCCTGCGCTCCGCTCCTGTTAGTATCATGGCTGCCGACCGTTGGACTAATTGGAGCTTCCGGGCGTCTTCAAAGGCAACCCCACGTAGAGAGCGTTGCAGTAGTCAAGACGGGATGTAACCAGAGCGTGGACTACCGTGGCCAAGTCAGACTATCTATCTATCTTCCTACCTACCTACCTACCTTTCTGTTTGTCTGTCTGTCTATCTATCTATCTATCTATCTATCTATCTATCTATCTATCTATCTATCTATCTATCACGAAGAGTCAGAGACGACTGAACAAATGAACAACAAATCTATCTATCTATCTTTCTTTCTATCTATCATCTATCATCTATCTATCTTTCTGTCCATCTGTCTGTCTGTCTATCTATCTATCTATCTTTCTGTCCGTCCGTCCGTCCGTCCGTCCGTCCGTCCGCTCCATCCATCCATCCATCCATCCATCCATCCATCCATCCATCCATCTATCTATCTATCTATCTATCTATCTATCTATCTATCTATCTATCTTTCTGTCCGTCTGTCTGTCTATCTGTCTATCTATCTATCTATCTATCTATCTATCTTTCTGTCTCTCTCTCTCTCTCTCTATCTTTCTATCATTCTATCTATCATCCATCTATCTATCTATCTATCTATCTATCTATCTATCTATCTATCTATATCTTTCTATCTATATCTTTCTATCTATCTGTCTGTCTGTTTGTCTATCTATCTATCTATCATCTATCTATCTTTCTGTCCATCTGTCTGTCCATCTGTCTGTCCATCTGTCTGTCTGTCTGTCTGTCTGTCTATCTATCTATCTATCTATCTATCTATCTATCTATCTATCTATCTTTCTGTCCGTCTGTCTGTCCGTCCGTCCGTCCGTCCGTCCGTCCGTCCATCCATCCATCCATCCATCCATCCATCCATCCATCCATCTATCTATCTATCTATCTATCTATCTATCTATCTATCTATCTATCTATCTATCTTTCTGTCCGTCTGTCTGTCTGTCTGTCTGTCTGTCTATCTATCTATCTATCTATCTTTCTGTCTCTCTCTCTCTCTATCTATCTATCTTTCTATCATTCTATCTATCATCATCTATCTATCTATCTATCTATCTATCTATCTATCTATCTATCTATATCTTTCTATCTATATCTTTCTATCTATCTGTCTGTCTGTTTGTCTATCTATCTATCTATCCATCTATCTATCTGATGAAAAAAATCCTTGCTCCAACGATACATTAATGATTAACATAAACCAATCAATCAGACCATCCTTGGCCGATTTAATTAGCCAAGACGGGCAAGGGTCCAGAGCCGATGTAGTAGCTCTCACTGCCCCAAGGGCCACCTCCACGTCCTCAGGACGAACAAGCCGGAAGGAATCCCACAAAACCGGACAAGCAGATGCCTCGGTCACCTCTCTTGGAACTGCAATCAAACGAGTCCAACTCAAGACGTATCTAAGCAACTTTGCCTGCAAAGTGCTGCTCAAATTCGCAGCACTGAGTTTTTGGGTCATCGAAGGTTTCCTCCACCTCAGGGGGGTGAAGAAGTTCCCCAATGACCCAAAACAACTCTGAAGATCTATTAGATGCAGACGCTATACGGGCAGTCGTGAAGGACTCCCTGGCTACCTGTATAGCCGCGGAATAGGCCCTAAGTGAGGCTCTAGCCCGTGTTTGGTCAGATACATCCTGAGATTTCCTCCATTTGCACTGAACCAAGGAGATGGTGTGTCCGGTGAACCAAGGAGATGGTGTGTCCGGTGAACCAAGGAGATGGTGTGTCTCTACGCAACAAGAGGGGCCGTTCGGAAGTGATCAAGTCTATCACCCTGGCCATCTCACTATTATGGCAATCGACCAGAGTGTAGACATGATCGCCAGGCTCCATGGCAGGAAGAGCCCCAAGATTCCTCAGGAAACCTTCCAGATCCATCAGTCTCCACCAAAGATGGAATTGAACCAAACTTGGCATGCATACTCGATATGCCCAAATTTGAATACTGGTGGTTTTTGTGGGGAATGGGCCTGGACATTTTTGAGATGTAGGCATTGGGATTTATAGTTCACCTGCAATCAATGAGCACTCTGAACTCTACCAAAGATGGAATTGAACCAAACTTGGCATGCATACTCGATATGCCCAAATTTGAATACTGGTGGTTTTTGTGGAGAATAGGCCTGGACATTTTTGAGATGTAGGCATTGGGATTTATAGTTCACCTGCAATCAATGAGCACTCTGAACTCCACCAAAGATGGAATTGAACCAAACTTGGCATGCATACTCGATATGCCCAAATTTGAATACTGGTGGTTTTTGTGGAGAATAGGCCTGGACATTTTTGAGATGTAGGCATTGGGATTTATAGTTCACCTGCAATCAATGAGCACTCTGAACTCCACCAAAGATGGAATTGAACCAAACTTGGCATGCATACTCGATATGCCCAAATTTGAATACTGGTGGTTTTTGTGGGGAATGGGCCTGGACATTTTTGAGATGTAGGCATTGGGATTTATAGTTCACCTGCAATCAATGAGCACTCTGAACTCCACCAAAGATGGAATTGGACCAAACTTGGCACACAGAGCCCGATATGCCCAAATTTGAATACTGGTGGTTTTTGTGGGGAATGGGCCTGGACATTTTTGAGATGTAGGCATTGGGATTTATAGTTCACCTGCAATCAATGAGCACTCTGAACTCCACCAAAGATGGAATTGAACCAAACTTGGCATGCATACTCGATATGCCCAAATTTGAATACTGGTGGTTTTTGTGGAGAATAGGCCTGGACATTTTTGAGATGTAGGCATTGGGATTTATAGTTCACCTGCAATCAATGAGCACTCTGAACTCCACCAAAGATGGAATTGAACCAAACTTGGCATGCATACTCGATATGCCCAAATTTGAATACTGGTGGTTTTTGTGGGGAATGGGCCTGGACATTTTTGAGATGTAGGCATTGGGATTTATAGTTCACCTGCAATCAATGAGCACTCTGAACTCCACCAAAGATGGAATTGAACCAAACTTGGCATGCATACTCGATATGCCCAAATTTGAATACTGGTGGTTTTTGTGGAGAATAGGCCTGGACATTTTTGAGATGTAGGCATTGGGATTTATAGTTCACCTGCAATCAATGAGCACTCTGAACTCCACCAAAGATGGAATTGAACCAAACTTGGCATGCATACTCGATATGCCCAAATTTGAATACTGGTGGTTTTTGTGGGGAATGGGCCTGGACATTTTTGAGATGTAGGCATTGGGATTTATAGTTCATCTGCAATCAATGAGCACTCTGAACTCCACCAAAGATGGAATTGAACCAAACTTGGCATGCATACTCGATATGCCCAAATTTGAATACTGGTGGTTTTTGTGGGGAATGGGCCTGGACATTTTTGAGATGTAGGCATTGGGATTTATAGTTCATCTGCAATCAATGAGCACTCTGAACTCCACCAAAGATGGAATTGAACCAAACTTGGCATGCATACTCGATATGCCCAAATTTGAATACTGGTGGTTTTTGTGGAGAATAGGCCTGGACATTTTTGAGATGTAGGCATTGGGATTTATAGTTCACCTGCAATCAATGAGCACTCTGAACTCCACCAAAGATGGAATTGAACCAAACTTGGCATGCATACTCGATATGCCCAAATTTGAATACTGGTGGTTTTTGTGGAGAATAGGCCTGGACATTTTTGAGATGTAGGCATTGGGATTTATAGTTCACCTGCAATCAATGAGCACTCTGAACTCCACCAAAGATAGAATTGGACCAAACTTGGCACATAGAGCCTCCATGACCAGCAAAATATACTGGAGGTCTTTGGAGAAAATTCACCTTGCTTTGAGGGAGTTGTAGTTCACCTACATCCATTGAGCACTTTGAACCCAAACACTGATGAATATGGACCAAACTTGGCACAAATACCTGATATGCTGAAATTTAATTACTGAAGAAGTGGGGGTTTTTTTTGGGGGGGGGGGTGGAATTGACCCTCCTTTCTGGGAGTTGTAGCTCACTCACAACCAGAAAAACACTGACCTCCATCAGCTGGCTTTTAAGATTTTTTTTGGAGGGGGGAGATATTTTAAAGCTACAGATAGCAGAATCAGTGTCTGTGGGATCTGTGGATACAGAGATCTGTCCTCAGGACAAGAAAATCCTACATCTGAAGACTTGTGGAAGGAAAACCAGCGTGAGTGTTGAAGGTCTCTCATGCTAAGCAGGCACCTACCTGGCGGGTGGAGAGGGGGCGGGACAGAGGCCACAGGCGGAGGGGGCGGGTGCAAAAAGTGGGGCGGAGGAGGGCCACCCAGGGGAGGCGGGGGTCTCGCCGGAGGTGCAAAGGCCTGCTGTTGCTGCGGAGGTGGCTGCGGCTGTTGTGATGGCTGCGGAGGAGCCTGGGGTTTGCTCCCGTGGTCTCCGAGTACCTTCAAAAAGACAAGAAGGTGGGTCTGAGTTGCATCCTAGCCTTGAGATACCTTTTCACCCAGCGTCACACCAGAATCCCTCAGTATATAAGAAAAGCATGCACAAAGGGGGGAAAGGACATTTCCCAAAAGGGCTGTAGAGTAGGAAATAAAAAATAGCAGCAATCCCAAAATATCAAAGTATATGAAATCAATAGAGCCAAAATCTCAAGCCTAGATAAAAGGTCCGGATTTAAGTGAAACTTCACAGCTGCAGGTGGAGGAGTCGGCCGCTCCTTCTGGGAGCTCAGTGCCTCTCGGTTCCCAGGGTGACCAGTCCCAGGATAATGAGGTATCCGGCCTTGAAGGTGATGAAGATTTGATTAGGGAAGACCGTTTGCAATTAAGGGTATGCCGAAGTGCGCGGCTTGCCAACAAACGGGAAGTTCGAGGTCAACGTAATGCTTTCATGCTAGGGAAACATATTTAACAATCTGATTGAAGGCAATCTTTTGTCAGAACAACTTTGCTTACACCCTGTTAACTTCTCTGGAATTGCCTTGGCTTTTGGGGAAAGCTTTGGCTCTTTGGGACTTTGGTTTTGATCTTGGCTTCTGGGGACTTTGTCATGCTGCCATGGATTCTTGTTTGACCAATGCTTGTGGATGATACTTCATGTTATTTGCCTTTGGACCTTTGGAGACTCTGTCTTTGCATTTAAGACTCTGTTTTGGCTATTGAACTTTTACAACTTTAGAATCATAGAATCAAAGAGTTGGAAGAGACCTCCTGGGCCATCCAGTCCAACCCCATTCTGCCAAGAAGCAGGAATATTGCATTCAAATCACCCCTGACAGATGGCCATCCAGCCTCTGTTTAAAAGCTTCCAAAGAAGGAGCCTCCACCACACTCCAGGGCAGAGAGTTCCACTGCTGAATGGCTCTCACAGTCAGGAAGTTCTTCCTCATGTTCAGATGGAATCTCCTCTCTTGTAGTTTGAAGCCATTGTTCCGCGTCCTAGTCTCCAGGGAAGCAGAAAACAAGCTTGCTCCCTCCTCCCTGTGGCTTCCTCTCACATATTGATACATGGCTATAATATCTCCTCTCAGCCTTCTCTTCTTCAGGCTAAACATGCCCGGCTCCTTAAGCCGCTCCTCATAGGGCTTGTTCTCCAGACCCTTGATCATTTTAGTCGCCCTCCTCTGGACACATTCCAGCTTGTCAATATCTCTCTTGAATTGTGGTGCCCAGAATTGGACACAATATTCCAGGTGTGGTCTAACCAAAGCAGAATAGAGGGGTAGCATGACTTCCCTAGATCTAGACACTATGCTCCTATTGATGCAGGCCAAAATCCCATTGGCTTTTTTTGCCGTCACATCACATTGTTGGCTCATGTTTAACTTGTTGTCCACGAGGACTCCAAGATCTTTTTCACACGTACTGCTCTCGAGCCAGGCATTGTCCCCCATTCTGTATCTTTGCATTTCGTTTTTCCTACCAAAGTGGAGTATCTTGCATTTGTTCCTGTTGAACTTCATTTTGTTAGTTTTGGCCATTCATCTCTCTAATCTGTCAAGAACGTTTTGAATCCTGCTCCTGTCCTCTGGAGTCTTGGCTCTCCCTCCCAATTTGGTGTCGTCTGCAAACTTGATGATCCTGCCTTCTAGCCCTTCATCTCAGTCATTAATAAAGATGTTGAACAGGACCTTAAGCATAAAAGGAGGAACTTCCTCTGAGGCAAAACAGGAAACTCAAATCATGAATTTGAGAGTGAAGACATGAAAGCCATCCTCATGACAACATTATCTCATCTGAGAGGCACAGAGTAAATACTGCTTAATTTAAGCCCGACAATGATGTCATGCCGAACGCACCTGGGCTTAATAATAATAATAATAATAATAATAATAATAATAATAATAACAACTTTATTTTTATACCCCGCCAACCATCTCATCCAAGGGGACTCAGGGTGGCTTACAAGGGACAAGCCCAAAAATTACAATAAAACATAACAGATTAAAAACATCAAATATAAAAACAATCACAATTGTAAACAACATCAAGCGGTATATGGCTGAGATAAAGAACATAGCTGAGGTGCAGGCTCACTGAGTACATTCTGAAGGGAGTGCAAGGAAAGTGCAATAATCCAGTAGACGGATGGAAATACTGTCATCAAAAGTGTTGACATAGACAATAAGAGGGCTGATATAAAGTGCCAAACTTAAAGTAGGGACAGAAAAAGTCAATCCTGCAAAAACCGAGATCCTCTGGCCCGGCCAGCCGCCAGAATTAACCCAGTCTCGGCCTGATTTCGATGGGGAAGCTCTGGTTCGGTCTGCCACTGTGAAAAGCCTTAAAGGGGTTGTGTTGGACTCATCGCTGACGATGGAGGCCCAGATCACGGCCATAAGGAAGCAGGCCTTTTTTCATCTTCGCCAGGCAAGGAAATTGGCATCCGACCTTTCGGTAGAAGCATTAGCAACGGTAATCCACGCAACAGTCACCACGAGGTTGGACTATTGCAATGCTTTATATGCCGGCCTTCCCAAGTCAACAACCCAGAAGATTCGGATGGTCCAAAATGCGGCAGCCAGGCTGCTAGCGGGATCATCTCTAAGATCCCATATCACACTGATCCTGCAACAACTGCATTGGCTACCAAGAGAACATCGGATCTCTTACAAGATTCCGATCCTGATATTCAGAGCTCAAAATGGCCAAGGACCTTGATATCTTAGGGACCGCCTCATTCCTTTTCTCCATCCGTGGTCACCTCGATCCACCCAGGAAAATCTCCTATACATACTGGGCCCTAGGGAGGGACACCTGGAAGCCACAAGGCGTAGTAGAGCTTTCTCGACCTCTGCTCCAATTCTGTGGAACTCATTGCCTCCATACATTAGAGCAGTGTTGGAGTTGCGACGTTGGAGTAAAGGCGTTCAAGACTTGGCTGTTTGGTTGTGCATTTAAGTAATCCGATCTAATTCGCCAAATAGTCACTGTTGCATGTTTTTATGTTGAATGTTTTTATATTGTGTAAATGCTATTTTAGATTGTAAGTCGCTCGGAGTCGTAAGTCTCTCGGAGTTGGTGGACAGCGACTAATTAAGAAATAAAGTGAAGTGAAGAAAAATTACTGGTGGACTACTTAATCAAAAGCCCACCGGAACATCCAGGTTTTTAATTGTCTCCGGGAAGAGGACAAGGTGGGAGCCTGTCTGATCTCCCTAAGGAGGGAGTTCCAGAGGCAGGGGGTCACCACCGAGAAGGCCCTCTCCCTCGTTCCCACCAACCATGGGTGAGAGAGTAGTGCCTCCCTGGATGATCTCAAGGTATGCACTGGTTCGTAGGGGAAGATGTGATCCTGGAGATAAGCCGGTCCTGAACCATTTAGGGCAGTGGTTCTCAACCTGTGGGTCCCCAGATGTTTTGGCCTTCAACTCCCAGAAATCCTAACAGCTGGTAAACTGGCTGGGATTTCTGGGAGTTGTAGGCCAAAACACCTGGGGACCCACAGGCTGAGAACCACTGGTTTAATAGGACTATACTCCAAAGCCAAGATTTTATCAGCTTTCTGAAAGTCAGGAGGGAAGGGGCAGATCTAATCTCCAACGGGAGAGAGTTCCAGAGCCGAGGGGCCACCACCGAGAAGGCCCTGTCCCTCGTCCCCACCAGACGCGATTGCAAAGGTGGTGGGACTGAGAGCAGGGCCCCTCCAGAAGATATTAACAACCTTGATTGTTCATAGGGGAGAATCCGTTTGGACAGGTAAACTGGGTCGGAGTCTTTTAGGGATTTGTAGGTCATCACCAGCGCTTTGAATTGTGCTTGGAAGCTAATTGGCAGCCAGTGGAGCTGGCGCAACAGAGGAGTAGTATGCTCCCTGTACCCTGCTCCCGTTAGTAATCTGGCTGCCGCTCATTGGACTAATTGAAGCTTCCGGGCAGTCTTCAGAGGCAACCCCACGTAGAGAGCGTTGCAGTAGTCTATACGGGATGTAACCAAAGCGTGGGCTTTGTAGGTGATCACCAGCACCTTTAATTGGGACTGGAAACTTATTGGAAGCCAGTGGAGCTGTTTAAACAGGGGGGCTGACTGCTCCCTGTAACCAGCTCCCGTAAGTAGTCTAGCTGCAGATCTTTGGACCAACTGTAGTTTCCGGGCCGTCTTCAAGAACTTTTCATGGATTCTCTCAGAATGTCTAACTGGAGGGCGACTAAAATGATCAAGGGTCTGGAGAACAAGCCCTATGATGAGCGGTTTAAGGAGCTGGGCATGTTTAGCCTGAAGAAGAGAAGGCTGAGAGGAGATATGATAGCCATGTATAAATATGTGAAAGGAAGCCACCGGGAGGAGGAGGGAGCAAGCTTGTTTTCTGCTTCCCTGGAGACTAGGACGCAATGGAGCCATGGCTTCAAACTACAAGAGAGGAGATTCCATCTGAACATGAGGAAGAACTTCCTGACTGTGAGAGCCGTTCAGCAGTGGAACTCTCTGCCCCGGAGTGTGGTGGAGGCTCCTTCTTTGGAAGCTTTTAAACAGAGGCTGGATGGCCATCTGTCAGGGGTGATTTGAATGCAATATTCCTGCTTCTTGGCAGAATGGGGTTGGACTGGATGGCCCATGAGGTCTCTTCCAACTCTTTGATTCTATGATTCTATGGTCTATCTTTCACTCTCTCTGTTCTCCAAACTAATCTGGCTTCTCTGGAAAATTCCCTATTGGACAAAGGCCATTTCACAAAGGAACTGACATCTTCACTTTCTTTTGCCTGGGAATGAGTCCAGGAATCCCAAACAACGGCCTCCTTGGCCTACAATTCTCTCTGCTCACTAGCAGACTCTTCCCTTTGAGACCCATCAATTCCCTCATCCTTTGAAACATCAAAAAAAATCCCCTGCCAGCTGTTAGGAATTGTGGGAGTTGAAGTCCAAAACAACTGGAGGGAGGGCTGAAGTTGGCCCATGCCTGTTTTAGTCCTCTAAACAGCAGCATCTGGCCATTCTGGGACGGGCATAGCTACTCAATGGGATTCGATCCCAGCTCTACCTGAATGGGGTTCTCCTCAGAGGCATGCTTGTCACGCCGCCTGCCTTCCACCCGCCGGATGGTGCCTGCTTGACCGCCAATGACATCGATGGTCCCTCCCAGCTTCCTGGTTGAAAAAGGGAGACAACACTCAATATGGAATACGGGAGATAGTGAAGAATGAACCTCTGGGAGACCTGGGTTCGAATTCCTGTTCAGCCATGCAAGGCTTTGGGCAAGTCACACTCTCTCAGCCACAGAGCGAGGCGAGGGCAAACTTGCTCCATGATCATTTCTATCAGTGTAATGTCAATATATATTGTACAAGTTTAAAATCTCCATGGTGCTAGCTGTGAAAGAGTTAACTTGTGGAGCATTATGCGTGGAACAGACAAGGAAGTTGTTGCAATAGACTAGGAGGCTGGACACTGAATTAAGGAGCTGATAACAGTGGAGTATAAATACCGCAGACGCCATTTGTTTTTTCTCTTGGCTCTTCTCCCTTGCATCTGACTGTGCCAATGAGTAAGTGTTATTGCAATGAATGAAATGTAAATCAAGATAAGAGCCGCTACTGAAGTAGAAACAACTGTCTGAAGTCAGTTAATTGCATGATAAGAAGCAAGTTGGCCAGCAAATTGCACTGATAATTTCCCCTTCGGATGGCCATAAGTCGGACTTAAAGGCACACAACCCCATCGGTGTGTAATTGGGATTGGACTTGGGATGCATCTAAACTGTAGAGTTATGGTGATTTATTTGTTTGTTTGTTTGTTTACTCAATTTATATACCGCTTTTCTCAGCCCTCGGGCGACTCAAAGCGGTTTCCAGTGACAAAATTCAATGCCTGGACATCATAAAACAGATTAAAACAATTAAAACCCATAGCATCCATATACAAACATTACAAAGCCAATACTACATAACTCATGGCGTCTCTTAGTTCAAATCAAGATCCAATCTCGTCATCCAGTCGTTTCACGTTCCAATATTTGTTACACTGCCTTTTCGAATGCCTGCTCGAATAGCCAGGTCTTAACCTTCCTACAAAATGCTAACAGAGAAGGGGGCCGATCTAATATCTCTGGGAAGGGCGTTCCATAGCCGAGGGGCCACCACTGAGAAGGTCCTGTCTCTCGTCCCCGCCAAACGTATTTGTGACGCAGGTGGGATCGAGAGCAGGGCCTCCCCAGTTTGACACCATTTTTCTGCCATGGACTCCTGGAAGTTATACTTTCACAATGCCTTGAGCCTCCTCTGCCAGAGAGGTCTGACCCCTTGCCAAATTGAGCCAAGTGGTGTCAAATTGCATTCATTCTACAGCCTGAATGCACTACTGGAGGGGTTTGCGGGGACTGACTCACCGCAGTGGGAGTTGTAGTTTACTCTACAGCCAGAGTGCACACGGAACTCCACCAATGAGGCCTCTAGAGCCTCTAGAGCCAACTTGCCCAACGTAACAAACTGTATGGAGTTTTTGGGGGTTAACCTGGCATGATGTGAGTTGTAGTTCACCCACAACCTTATGCATTTGTAAAATTAAGAAATTGACTTTTTCAAGTAACATAGGCAATGCCAGGACATCATAACACCAAGCTACTAGAGTGTTCCCTCACTTATCACGGGGGTTCCGTTCCAGGACCACCCGTGATAAGTGAAAATCCGCGAAGTAGGGACGCCATATTAATTTTGCGCATGTAAAATTAATATGTAAAATTGTAATGCAAGTTTTGTTTTTTGGCTTTTTAAGTCCCTTTTGCTGTGCTTTTCAGTGTTTTTATGAGTGATGGTCACTCGTTGGCCTGAGAGGTGTCTTGCGTCCAAATTTGGTGTCAATTCGCCCAGTGGTTTTTGAGTTACGTTAATCCCACAAACTAACATTACATTTACATTTATATTTATATTTACTAGCCGTCCCCTGCCACGCATTGCCGTGGCCCTCATGGGGCTTCTGTGTGGGAGGTTTGGCCCAATTCGATCATTGGTAGGGTTCAGAATGCTCTGATTGTAGGTGAACTATAAATCCCAGCAACTACAACTGGGTTTCTATTTTCCCCAAACTCCACCAGTGTTCACATTTGGGCATATGGGGAATTCTTGTAGAGTTTGATCCAGATCCATCATTGTTTGAGTCCACAGTGATCTCTGGATGTAGGTGAACTACAACTCCCAAACTCAAGGTCAATGCCCACCAAACCCTTCCAGTATTTTCTGTTAGTCATGGGAGAACTGTGTCCCAAGATTGGTTCAATTCCATCATTGGTGGGGGTTCAGAATGCTCTTTGATTGTAGGTGAACTATAAATCCCAGTAACTATAACTCCCTAATGACCAAATCATTTTTTTTTTGACTGAAGGACATACATTGGGTTGTTAGGTGTCTTGTGTCCAAATTTGGTGTCAATTCGCCCAGTGGTTTTGGAGTTCTGTTAATCCCACAAATGAACATTACATTTATATTTATATGTATGTATGTATGTATTTATGTATGTATGTATGTATGCGGAGGGTGGACGTAGGGAGATGTATGTGGCAGCATTCCAATTGGCTGCCACTTTCACAGACCACTGAGACCAGCCCGGGTGACGGACCTGGACCAAACTTGGCCCACATAACCCCCATGAACCCCTTTACGTCCTGGTGAGGTTTGGGGGAAGACGGACAATGGATGATAGGATTTGTAGTACTTTCAAACCCTTCGGTTCCCACATACTACTGCGGCCCCCAACACAGACCGATAAAGACCAAACTTGGCACACAGAGCCCCCATGACCCACTCTACATCCTACTGCAGTTTGGAGGAGGGTGGACAATGGATGATGGGATTTGAAGTACCTCCACTCACTTCCCAAGATTGCTGCAACCTTCATCCAATGACTGTTCAAGACCAAACTTGGCACAAATAACCCCCATGACCCCCTTTACGTCCAGGTGAGGTTTGGGGGAGGACAGTCAATGGATGATGGGATCTGTAGTACTTTCAAACCCTTCGGTTCCCACAGAACACTGTGGCCCCCAACAAAGACTGATAAAGACCAAACTTGGCGCACAGAGCCCCCATGACCCACTCTACATCCTGGTGCTATTTGGAGGAGGATGGACCATGTACGATGGGACTTTCAGTACCTTCACTAACTTCCTGAGAACACTGCGAGCCACATAAATAACTGATAAAGACTAACCCTGGCACACAATGCTGTTCTGAAATAACCCGGGCAGCTCCGGGTCCCCAAGCTAGTATATATATAAAATGAAGGCCCAGGTCGGCGTGAGCACCCGACTGTCATTACCTGTTTGGCGGAGGTCCGGCCTTGATCCGCCCGCCGACCAGAGCTACAAAATCCGTCTTGAAATCCATTTTGATGATATTGTTCTCCGGCTCCTTTTCGGTATTCCCAGTCCTTCCTTGCTGGACCTAAGCAAAGGCGCAAAGAAGAAAGAAGAAGAGAAACGGACGGGTTGATCACAACCACCGAATGGTTTTGGCCACGAAAGCCTTCAACGACACAACAATCCAATTCTTCACAGAATCCTACATTCAGAAAATGTACACCTGGGAAACACTAATTACGTTATATATTATGATTATTATAGGGTTGCACATTTTACGAGGATTGACATTGCACCGGACCCCGTGTTTTTCCGTTGTCTCTTTCGGGAGCCGTTCCCGCTCCTCCGCTGCTCACCGTGATCTTATTCTCGGCCACGCTGACCGGAGGGGAGGACTCCAAGCCCAGCTGGAGCCGGCGCTGCTTCTCGCAATAGGCCTTCCAGGTCTCCTCGTTGAACCCGTAGTTGAAATAATCCGAAAGGTCAGCGCCTGCGGAAGGACAAACAAAACAGAGCGGCTGCAGAAGACAGAAGAGTCAAGGAGAAAGGGATTCAAGTCGGGACAGTGACCGGAATGAGATGATGCAGGATGGCATCCCTTTGGTCTGCAGGGAAAGGCTTTCTTTTGTCTACTTCCTCTTATCCTAAAGCAGTGGTTCCCAACCATTGGTCTGTTCACCACCGGTGGTCCAAAAGAAACAGAAAACTGGTCCATGGGAGGTATATATGGGCCAGGCTTCAGCAGCAGCAATGATAAGATCTACCAACCGAAAGGTTGCCAGTGCGAAGGCTCGGGTCGGCGTCAGCACACAACTGTCAGCCCAGCTCACTGTTTACCTAAGCAGTTTGAAAACAGCTTAGAGCTGTAAGTAGATAAATTACTGTATATACTCGAGTATAAGCCTAGTTTTTCAGCCCCTTTTTGAGGCTGAAAAAGCTCCCCTCGGCATATACTCAGGTCAAGGTTATTTATTATTTCATTCCGTTATTAGTATTATTTTTATTTCGTGTATTATTTTACTCTCTTTATTATTATTACATTTACAGTATTTTACCCTATTATTATTATTACATTTATTATTTTACACTATTTATGATTATTATTTCATTTATTATTTTACTGTATTATTATTTCATTTATTATTTTACTCTATTATTATTTCATTTATTATTTTACTCTATTATTAGTATTATTTTTATTTCATGTATTATTTTACTCTCTTAATTATTACAATATTTTACCATATTATTATTATTATTATTATTATTGCATTTATTATTTTACACTATTTATGATTATTATTACATTTATTATTTTACTCTATTATTAGTATTATTTTTATTTCATGTATTATTTTACTCTATTATTATTACATTTACAGCATTTTACCCTATTATTATTATTAGTCCATGTATTATTTCACACTATTTAAGATTATTATTACATTTATTATTTTATTATTATTGCATTTATTATTTTACACTATTTATGATTATTATTACATTTATTATTTACTTTATTATTATTACATTTATTATTTTACTCTATTATTAGTATTATTTTTATTTCATGTATTATTTTACACTTTTTATGATTATTATTACATTTATTATTTTACTTTATTATTATTGCATTTATTATTTTACTCTATTATAATATTATTTTTATTTCATGTATTATTTTACTCTTTTATTATTATTACATTTACAGTATTTTAACCTATTATTATTATTATTCCATGTATTATTTCACACTATTTATGATTATTATTACATTTATTATTTTACTTTATTATTATTGCATTTATTATTTTACTTTATTATTATTATTATATTTATTATTTTACTCTCTTTATTATTGTTGGAAGGATACATAAGTACATTTACAGTGAAGATATGTAATGATTTAATCAGAGTTGGACAGTCTTATCTCAAATTACAGTTTTATGTAAATATTAAAAAACATTTCACCTCCTGATGCCTCAATTAATGTAATTTTATCGGTATCTATTTTTATTTTGCATTTTACCAGTAGCTGCTGCATTTCCCACCCTCGGCTTATACTTGAATCAATACATTTTCCCAGTTTTTTGTCGTAAAATTCGGTGCCTCGGCTTATATTCGGGTCGGCTTATACTGGAGTATATACAGTAGGTACCACCAAAAAGCAGAGGAGGTATTTTATGGTCTGGAACAAACTTGGCATGAATACTCAATATGCCCAAATGTGAACACTGGTGGAGTTTGCAGACAATAGTCCTTGTCATTTGGGAGTTGTGAAAATCCTACAGCCTTGAAAAGTGAAAGTCAAGATTCCCAAGAGAACATGCATTCCGAGTAGAGCAGAGACATTTCACTCCCTTTTCCTCCCAGTCTTAGTTTTCCAGAGAATCTGACACCTGGTCTGCCAGGTGAGGATAGGCGGGGGCAGATTTGGCAGAGCCGGGGGGAAGCACAAAGTTTACGTAGGTCAGCTAGATTAAGAGAAATGCAAACAAAGTCTTCAGGTGTGTCTCGCAATAGATTTCTCGGCCTTAAGTATTCCTGGCCTGAATGCAGCTTCAGACCAGGCATCGTTCCAGATTCATGTGCAAACTTTTGCAGGTCTCCTAATTCAAGTGGCCTTGTTCCTCGGAGGTTTTCTAGTTGTTCCAAGTATGGTTAGTGGTTGCTAACAGGTTCCAGGATTCAGCAGTTTTGCTGTGGGTTTCATGATCTTGTTTATGGACATTTCTTGTTGCTGATTTTTACTGTGACTTTTTACCTTTGCATATTTCTTCAATTTTGTATTCATCTTTCATCAATAAAGAAGGATTGTTTTCCTGAAGTCAAGTGTGGTGGATTGTTGTCTGAGGGTCCAGTTTCCTGCTCTGGGTTGCAACACCAGCGGGGAGCCAGGGTGCCACGGGTGAGAGGTCTTCAAGGATTTTCCCATACACTGTCTTACTTGAAATGTTTAACAAAGTTCTTTATTATTGCTTAGGTCTTCAATAAAACACTTCTTGGATCTTCAACAGATTAAACCAATGCTTCTTAACTTGCCTCAAAATGGACAGGCGCCTTGCTTGGAGAACTATTTCTTTCCTTAACAAGGAAAATCCTTTTTTAACCCTGCCCGGGCAATCTACTGTCTAAGCTTTACTGATGTGGGTTCTACTACCGGTTCCAATCTGCGTCTTGGGTCCCGAGTAGACCCACCAGTCAAGGCTATGTAGATTCTCCAGCTGGAGTTCTTTGGGTCTACAAAACTGTTTTCTTCCTAAACTTTAGGACTGTTTCCCTCAGATGCTGTAAAGCTGAGAGGCTGTAAGCTCCCAGCCAGAGATTTGGGACTGTTTTTCCCCGGAATTTCTGCCCCGGATGCTGTAGGAAATGAAGCTTTTCTACAGATGGAGCTAATCCACATCCTGTAGTTTAGCTCTTCACTCTAAGACTGAACTAAAAATGGCTCCCTCTCTTCCCATGGCCCTGGCGAAAGGGGTGGAACCAAAACTTAACAATGATAGACAGGTGGCTAGCCCTATGATTGCAAACCAAGGGAAGCCACCTTGTTTCAAAGGCATGGAACCTTGGAATATATGCAAACACTCAATAGAAAGAAAATGAAGCTGAAGCTCCTGGTACAGCCGTACCAGCATATTATTATTATTATTATTATTATTATTATTATTATTTCATAGAAAACGTGTGTTGATGCAGTGTGACTGTTGTCATGCATCATGCTCCGAAGTTGATGGTGGTTGTTGGTGTCAGGCCTAGCGGTAGGTGATGGAAGGGATTAATGTGAGTTCTAGTTCTAAAGGGCAGAATAATCAGTAAGGGTGGAGGCATGCAAGGCATAGGATGCAGTTGGGTTTAACTGGGGGTCCTAAGACCATCAGAAATATGTTTTCCGGTGGTCTTTGGCGACCCTTCTGAAACCCCCTCATGCCCCCCCCCCAGGGGCCCTGACCCCTAGGTTGAGAAACGCTGGGTTTCAAACCCACAAATCCTAATTAAAAATCCCATTTCAATATACTAAAATTATCACGGGGTGCCGTGCTCCGACCTACAAGAAGCACTGCCTGAACATCAAGCAAAAAGTGGGTGCTAAAAACAATATCATACGAAAGCTGACTGGCACAACCTGGGGATCACAACCAGACACAGTGAAGACATCTGCCCTTGCGCTGTGCTACTCTGCTGCTGAGTACGCATGCCCAGTGTGGAACACATCTCACCACACTAAAACAGTGGATGTGGCTCTTAATGAGACATGCCGCATTATCACAGGGTGTCTGCGCCCTACACCACTGGAGGAATTACACTGCTTAGCCGGTATTGCACCACCTGACATCCGCCGGGAAGTGGCAACCAATAGTGAAAGGACCAAGGCAGTGACATCTCCAGCTCATCCCCTGTTTGGGTATCAGCCAGCACGTCAACGACTTAAATCTAGACATAGTTTTCTAAGATCTACAGCAGGGGTCCTCAAACTATGGCCCGCGGGCCACTTCCAGCCCACCAAGGGCACTTATACGGCCTGCAGAGGAGGAGCCCCCCCCCCCCCACATAGTGCCCCTTCCTTGGCTGGCTCATGCTATCCGTCAGGCCCGATGGGCAGCGTGAGCCAGCCAAGGGAGGCTGCCCCAGCACTCCATGCAGTCATGCCGGCCACATGACCTTGGAGGTGTCTACGAACAACGCCGGCTCTTCGACTTAGAAATGCAGATGAGCACCACACCCCAGAGTCAGACACAACTGGACTTCAGGTCAGAGGAAAACCTTTAACTAGGAAAATTGTGGAAGATCCAGGGTGGGAGAAAGAACTCTTGTCTGTAGGAGGTAGGGATGAATGTTTCAATTGGCCACCTTGGTTACCATTTCATAGCCTGACAGGTTTTAGGGAGAATCCTTTGTTGAGAGGTGATTAGCTGTCCCTGATTGTTTCTTGTCTGGAGTTCCCCTGTGTTTGAGTGTTGTTCTTATTTACAGTTATAATTTTAGAGTTTTTTTAATACTGGTAGCCAGATTTTGTTCAGACTAGAAATAGGAAAATTTCCCATTCTCTGCTCCTGGAATTACTGCCTTAAGGGGGCTAGAAAGAACCCCCTTCCTCTAAGAGCCCCTCCACACAGCAAAATAAGATACGTGCAATGTGCATACGCATTTTTTTATTGATTTTTTTTTCTTAAAAAACTATAGTCCGGCCCTCCAATGGTCTGAGGAACAGTGAACTGGCCCCCGGTTTAAAAAGTTTGAGGACCCCTGATCTACAGAGACACTCGCTGGAACACCCCAGCAAGCGAGAGTCCAAAAGAGGCAGGCTCAAATCCAGAACCTCAACCAAGGCTGATACTAAATAAGAGACTCCCCCCTGGGCACACAGAAGACTGGGCGACTTGGAAGGCGCTGAACAGACTGCGCTCTGGCACCATGAGATGCAGAGCCAACCTCAAGAAATGGGGCCACAAAGTGGAGTCCACAACATGCGAGTGCGGAGAAGAGCCAACCACTGACCACCTGCTGCAATGCAACCTGAGCCCTGCCACATGCACCATGGAGGACCTTCTTGCGGCAACACCAGAGGCACTCCAAGGGGCCAGATACTGGTCAAAGGACATTTAATCAACTACCAAGCTTGCAAACTTTGTGTTTTCTTTGTTTGCTTGTTTGTTAAGAAATGCAATGCAACTGTTTGGCTTGCTCCTGACACGATAAATAAATAAATAGCAACTCCACCTTTTAATATGAGATGGCTACTCGACTCCCCAACGCGGCCTCCCTCTGACCTCCCGCTCCGCAGGGATGAAAGGCAGAACCCTAAAAATAAAGAGAGGAAATCTCCTGATAATATTTACCACAAGAAACTTTGAGGCCCCACCTGGTTTCCTCCACGGTTTGTCTTCAAAGGACTCTAAATCCGCTTCGATGGCAGGCAAGCCGTTGATGTTCCCCGCAGCCTCCAAATCAATGCCTTTGGGCTGGGACTTGGCTACGGAAAAATGAAAAAGAAGACCATGCATCAAAACACTGCATTTGGTGAGCAAATTATCATGCTTTTCAATGTCTCTCCCTGGGATTGACTCGTTGCTCGGTGACTTCGGGCACATCTACACTGTGGAATGCCAACAGTTGACCAAATGTAGTAGTCATGGACGATTTCAACTATCAGAATGCTCTTTGATTGGAGGTAAACGATACATCCCAGCAACTACAACTCCCAAATGACAAAATCAATCCCTCCCAACCCCACCAGTATTTCACAGAAACCGAACAAAGGGGAGAGGAGGCGGAGTAGCCTTATATGTCAAAAACTCTTATGCTCCAAAAGAGATTCAAGACAGCAATCTGGGAAACCAGCTTGAAATCATATGGATAAGAATCAAGGGAACTGGGACTCAAAAAGATGTTGTTGTAGGCGTCTACTACAGACCCCCAAGCCAGGAGGAAGAACTTGATGAAGTCTTCTGCCAACAGTTGACCAAACAGGCACAGAAAAGAGATGTAGTAGTCATGGGCGATTTCAACTATCCCGATATTTGCTGGAAAACAAACTCGGCCAAGAGTACAAGGTCCAACAAATTCCTCGCTTGCCTTGCAGACAATTTCATGGTCCAGAAGGTAGAAGAGGCAACAAGGGGATTGGCTACTCTAGATCTCATCCTAACAAATGTGGAGGACCTGATCGATGCAGTTGAAGTGGTCGGATCCTTAGGGGAAAGTGACCATGTGCTCCTGCAATTTGAGGTACAAAGGAAGGCCGAAACTAAGACAAGTCATACCCGCATTTTGGACTTTAGGAGAGCTGATTTCCGAAAAATGAAGGAAACGCTGAGCAGCATTCCGTGGAAACAGATACTAAAAGATAAGGGAGTTACGGATGGATGGGAATTCCTCAAGAGTGAAATACTCAAGGCGCAATTGCAAACTGTACCAACAAAGAGAAAAAATAGGACAAGTGCAAAGAAGCCAGAATGGATGTCCAAAGAACTTCTAACTGTGCTAAAACACAAAAGAGACATGCACAAGAAGTGGAAAAAGGGAGAAATCACCAAAGAAGAATTCAAACAAATTGCCAACACCTGTAGGGAAAAGGTCCGCAAGGCTAAAGCACAAAACGAGCTCAGACTTGCCAGGGACATTAAAAACAATAAAAAGGGCTTCTATTCTTATGTCAGTAGAAAAAGGAAAAACAAGGAGGCGATAGGGCCTCTTCGAGGAGAAGATGGGGCAATGCTGACAGGGGATAGGGAAAAGGCAGAATTACTTAATGCCTTCTTTGCCTCGGTCTTCTCACAAAAAGAAAGTCATCTTCAACCTCAGCAAGATGGATTGGATGAGGGAATAGAGGACATCCAACCCCAAATTGGGAAACAAGCCGTTCATGATTCTATGATTCTATAATAATATTATTAGTAATATTATAATAGTTTCTCCTCTAAAAGAAAGCTTTATCCTTGTTTTTTTTCTCCCCCTTCTCTAAATAAAACCCGGCACATTGATCAGATACTTTGAAATTCACCCTCAAACCCGCATGCATCCTTGTTTTGCATCGCCCCAAAAGATGCCCTAAACCCCCCAAAAGTGTCACTGTTTTAGGTGAGGTTTGCAGATTGGAGGAAATGGAAATTAAAGGATTTATTTCCATTTCCACAGGCAATACCTGTGGTGGGTGCTCCGTAGCCTCGTCCCGTTTTGAGGTTCAGGTTCATGGGGGTCCCCCTAAAAGAGTGGGAAAGAGGGGGATCAGAAAATGCAATGGCTGCTACAATATTTTTCAGCAGAAGGTTCCTTGAGTTTTGTTTCAACAAAGTGCAAAGACAAATCTCCTTTTTTGTGCCATCTTTACTGGAAATCAGCGTTTCTCAACCTGGGGGTCGCGACCCCTGGGAGGGTCACGAGGGGGTGTCAGAGGGGTCGCCAAAGACCATCAGAAAACACAGTATTTTCATTGGACATGGGGGTTCTGTGTGAGAAGTTTGGCCCAATTCTACTGTTGGCGGGGTTCAGAATGCTTTGATTGTAGGTGAACTATAAATCCCAGCAAAACTACAACTCCCAAATGCCAAGATCTATTTCCCCCAAATTCCACCAGTGTTCGCGTTTGGGCATATTGAGTATCCGTGCCAAATTTGATCCAGATTCATCATTTATTTGAGTCCACAGTGCTCTCTGGATATAGGTGAACTACAACTCCCAAACTCAAGGTCAATGCCCACCAAACCCTTCCAGTATTTTCTGTTAGTCATGGGAGAACTGTGTGCCAAGTTTGGTTCATTTCCATCACTGATGGCGTTCAGAATGCTCTTTGATTGTAGGCGAACTACAAATCCCAGTGACTACAACTCCCAAATGACAAAATCAATCCCCTCCAACCTCCCCCCCCCCCGAAGTACTAAAATTTGGGTGTATTGGGTATTCGTGCTAAATTTGGTCTAATGAATGGAAATACATCCTGCATATCAGATATTTACAGTATAATTCATAATAATAGCAAAATTACAGTTGTGAAGTGGAAACGAAATTAATTTTATGATTGGGGGGGTCACCAAAACATGAGGAACTGCACTAAGGGATTGCGGCATTAGGAAAGTAGAGAACCACTGCTGTTAAGCATCGCCTCCCCATGAAAAAAAAAGTATAATATCACAAAGGACGACCACCTGACCTGCTTCATAGGAAACCTGCTACCAAACAGGAGCTTTTTTGTTGAGTTCCAGGGCCAGAGAAGCAGATGGCGGAAACAGAAGAACGGCCTGCCTCAGGGGAGCGTGCTTGCCCCATCCATGTTCAACATCTACACAAATGACCTGCCACTGCCAGAAGGGACAGAGAGTTTCATCTATGCTGATGATCGTGCCATCACCGCTCAAGCAGGGAGCTTTGAGATGGTAGAACAGAAGCTCTCCGAAGCTCTAGGTGCTCTTACTGCCTATTACAGGGAAATTTATTTATTTATTTATGACATTTATATGCCGCCCTTCTCACCCCGAAGGGGACTCAGAGAGAAGATATACAATATTACTATATTGTACAATACCATTATATTGTATTATTATTAGTGTTATATTGTATTACATTATAATATTATAAATATTATATGTATATACCAGTGGTTCTCAACCTTCCAAATGCTGCGACCCCTTGATACAGTCCCTCATGTTGTGGTGACCCCCAACCATAAAATTATTTCATTGCTACTTCATACCTGTAATTTGGCGACTGTTATGAATCATCATGTAAATATCTAGGTGCTCTTACTCTAGGTGCTCTAACTGCCTATTACAGGGGAAACCAGCTGATCCCTAATCCATCTAAAACATGTGCCTTTCATCTCAAGAACAGACAAGCATCCTGAGCTCTGAGGATTATTACCTGGGAAGGAATCCCACTGGAGCATTGCAGCGCACCCAAATACCTGGGAGTCACTCTGGACCGTGCTGACCTACAAGAAGCACTGCCTGAACATCAAGCAAAAAGTGGGTGCTAAAAACAATATCATACGAAAGCTGACTGGCACAACCTGGGGATCACAACCAGATACAGTGAAGACATCTGCCCTTGCGCTGTGCTACTCTGCTGCTGAGTACGCATGCCCAGTGTGGAACACATCTCACCACACTAAAACAGTGGATGTGGCTCTGAATGAGACATGCCGCATTATCACAGGGTGTCTGCGCCCTACACTATTGGAGAAATTACACTGCTTAGTGTATTGCACCACCTGACACCACCCAGGGAGTAGCAACCAATAGTGAAAGGACCAAGGCAGAGACATCTCCAGCTCATCCTCTGGGTTTCAGCCAGCATGTCAACAACTTAAATCAAGAAATAGTTTTCCAAGATCTACAGAGATTTTTGCAGGAACACCTCAGCAAGCAAGAGTCCAAAAGTGGCAGGCTAGAAACAAAAAGAAACACTGACTTTACAAAAACTTCAGTGGTTTAAATAAAGGATGTCAAGATAATAACAGAGGTGGAAAAATTGGACATAACATAATATAATGTTGTAAAATGTTCTGTTTCCAGGCCCGCCACAACGTTTTCCCTTTCTGTGATGATTCATTAGACATGTACTAAAACTTACGAAACTACCAACCATAGCTTGAATCCGCTTTACTCTTCTCTCCCACTCCCTGATGTACATTGTGGAAAATATCAACAAAATCAATCAAATGCACAAATCTGGCCCCTTCTATAAAATACGGCACAATGGGAAGCCAAGAGCCAAACGTTTGCAGGATAGCAAAGGACATACATGTACGACGGAGCCCCCGTTTTGATGTTGCCGATCGTGACCCGAATATCGTCGTCGTCGCTGTCACTGTCGCTATCGTCTTCGTCGTCCTCTCCGCTCGGAAGGACCTAAACCAGCAAGAAAACACAATCAAAACAGCAGCGAAAGAACCAATTGAAGGTCCAAGTTGTATTGGAGAAGGCTGGAGATTTCTATAATTCATGGGATCCCATGCTTTCGAGAGAATCTCCCCTCTCCCCCAGCCATTGAATGGGTTTGCAGCACTCGAACACCACCCTTCTCCCTTTGTGATCCCAAATGAAGCCAAACCGAAATGACCGCATCATGCAGACGCAACCAAGATGCAAACCAGTTTCACCTTCCCAAATCTAATTCCAGGGTGGGAGAGCTAATTCCAGGTGGTTCTTTAGAAGTCTCCTAATCGCCCTTGGAATTGATTGATTGATTTTAATTCTAATCAATGAATTGGACTGACCTGCTGCAAGAGCTCTCGATCTTCGCAGTTGACCATTGTGCCCATCTTGGAAAGGTCCTGCAAAGGGTGGGAGTCTGCGTTTCTGAGAAAGGCAAAAACACAAACTGTCTTGGTTTGGGATCCAAATAGGAAGGAAGGAAGGAAGGAAGGAAGGAAGGAAGGAAGGGAGGGAGGGGAGGGAGGGAGGGAGGGAGGGAGGGAAGGAGGAGGAGGAGGGAAGAAAGGAAGGAAGGAAGGAAGGAAGGAAGGAGGGAGGGGGGAGGAGGAGAGGAAGGGGGGAAGGAAAAGAAGGAAAGGAAGGAAGAAAGAAAGGAAGGAAGGAAGGAAGAGAAAGGAAAGGAAGGAAGGGAGAGGAAGGAAGGAAGGAAGGAGGGAAGGAAGGAAGGAAGTAAGGAGGAGGGAGGAGAGAGAGAGGGAGGGAAAGAAGGAAGAAGGAAGGAGGAAGGAAGGAAGTAAAAGGAAGGAAGAGAGGGAGGAGGAAGGAAGGAAAGAGGGAGAAGAAGGAAGAAGGAAGGAAGGAAGGAAGGAAGGAAGGAAGGAAGGAAGGAAGGAAGGAAAGCAGGAAAGAAGGAGGGAGGGAGGGAGGGAGGGAGAGAAGGAAGGAAGGAAGGAAAGCAGGAAAGAAGGAAGGAAGACCTCAGCATGAGAAGGCCCCAGTGTTAGTTCTCCTCAGTCTGAGAGAGCCCTCAGTGTGAGAAGGCCTCAGTGGGAGAAAGGTCTCAGTGTGAGATAGGCCTCTGTTGTGGCTGAGCTAGTTTCTGACGATGAGGATGAGTTTCAGCTTCCTGGCTCTTTGATGTGCCTCAAATCTCGGAGCCTGCGTCCGAGGCTCTCACAGACAGTGCTGTGCCAACACAGCTGTTTTCATCAGAAATGAATTTTAATGAAGAGAATAGCAGCCAGGTGCCTTCCCACGAAAGTGATGATAAGGATCAGGCGCAGTTCACATCTGGCAAGCAGGCGGGAGGCTCCCTCACTGCAAGGTCACTGCAATGCTTTTATGATGCTGAGAGCCTAATATTTTGACGTTAGAAAGGTATTTAGGCCTTCCGGAAACTCTGTCAAACTGTCAGTTCAACGTAGCTTATTAGCCTGAAAGCTTCATGGAATAACCTGAGTCTGGAAAGCAGTAAGTTTGGATTTCTTGCATTGTGTTTTTTGGGGCAAATGTTTTTTTGCTTGTACCTGGGACTCTGGTTTGATCTTTGCCAATAGGATTATGTCTCCTGCTTTTACCTGAAGATCTTTGGAACTGTATCCTGCATTTAACCTTAATCTTTGGAACTTTGCATTGCTTATTCTTTGTTTTGACTTGGATTCTTTCTTCAATCTATATATATAAATTTGTAAGTGGCGTTTGGAAGCAAGGTGAATATATAAATCTGTAAGGGGCGTCCAACGGGACAGCAAAACTCAAAAAAAACCCAACGAAAATTAACCAAAATTCCCATGCACCTACCACAACCCACAAGGTACAAACAAATCGAATCAAAGTAAAAAACAACACAACAACACACTCACAAAACGACAAAACAACTGAGCATGCGCAATGGCACCCAGCCGCAACTTCCCTGGTGCCGCAACTTCCCTCCGCGCAAGCCACGCCCCCATCCTCCGTGCTCCTTCACTCCTCCCCCTGCTGCACACACACACACAACCCAACGCTCCTTCACTCTCCTCCCCCCCTGCACACACACACACACCTCCAAGAACCTCCGGCGGGAAACCCATGAGGAGGAGGAAGGGAAAAAAAATAGAGGGGCGTATGAGCCAGAAAAAAGGAAGGAAGAGAGGAGAAAGGAGGAAGTGAGGCCAGGCAGAGACGAGAGAAGGAGGAACGCGAGAAAGAGAGAAGGGAGAGAGAGAGAGAGGGGGGGGAAAGGAGGGAGTGTGTGAGAGAGTGAGAAAGAGGGAGGGAGAGAAAGAGAAGGATGGAGTGAAAAAGAGATGGGGAGGAAGGAGAGACACGAGAGAGAGAGAAAGAGGGGAAAGGAAGGAGTGTGTGAGAGAGAAAGAGGGAGAACGAGAGAAGGAAGGAAGAGAGAAGAAAGGAGGAAGTGAGGCCAGGCAGAGACTTCAAAACTCTTACTACAGGCCACAGCAACGCGTGGCAGGGTACAGCTAGTAAACTATAAAACTACAGCTCTTGTGTGGTGATGTTTGGAAGCAAGGTGAAGCCTACTCTGAGTTGCAACAGTCTCAGTGTGTCGTACACCAGAACAGGAACACCTCTGACCTTAAACACCACACCAGCTTGGTAAAATCACCAAGCAGTTTATTGAATAATATATGTAGGCAAAGCAGTAAAAAAACAGCAAGAACAGTAAAGATATAAAATAGTCCATAAGCTTCAAGGGAAAACAACATCTATGAGTACATAAAAATCCACGAACTAGGCACTTCAATCCATGAAACAAGACAGCAGGAAAAATCCCATAAACAAATCTTAAGCTTGGCAAAAACTTGGCACATGAATCTAAGAGCACTTGAAAGCAAGATTGTGATAAAATTACAACGTTGACCCAACTGAGGCAATTCTTTTTCGTGAATCATTATAAAGCTATTTCAGATTCCAAAACGGAAAGGAAAGCATTTCTCTTGGCCTTCCCACCAGATAAAGGTTTGTTATCTCTCTTCTGCTGTAGACGAACTGATCGTCTAAATCTTTGAAGACTTTGTTTACTAAAATTTTGTTTTCTGTTTAAACTTTCATTATCTTCCCTCTCATTAACTTCTGCACCTGACAAAACATCTGTCACATCTCAGGGTAGTTTTCACCTTGCTCAAGACACCACCACACACCAAGACTGTAGGTGTTGTAGTTGATTGAGAAAAAGCAAAATCAAAACAGAGAAATAAAGATGCAAAAGTTCAATAGGCAAAACAGAGTCTTAAATGCAAAGACAAGGTTCCCAAGATCCACAGGCAAATAACATAAAGCATAATCCCTTAGCAATGGTCAAACAAGAGTCCATGGAAGACAGGTAAAATCAGGATCAGAATCAAGTCTCAAAGAAGCCAGAAGTGTTCCGCAAAAGCCAAGGTAATTCCACAGAAGTTAGCACGTAAGAAGCAATATTGGACTGACAAGAAATGCCTGTCAGCTACATCATTAAATAAGTTTCCCTGACATGAAAGCATTGTGTTGACCTTTGGCTTCCCGCTTGCTGGCAAGGCGTGTGCTTCTGCGAACCCTTAATTGCAAACAATCCCATCTTCTCATTAATTCACCATTATCTTCAAGGCTACATAACTCCTTACCTTGGCCCAGCTGGGCCGGATCACTCTGGGAACCGAAAGAAGTCTCCACCTGCATTTGTGGGATTTCACTAACCACCCTTCAAATCCCCCTGACCAAGATTGTGCCCATCATGCCCTCCCCTGTTGTCACAAGACTCTCCCACAACGAAGAGAGCCCTCCACCGCCTCACTCACCACCTACCCCACCCTCCACCACACTCCGGGGCAGAGAGTTCCACTGCTGAACGGCTCTCACAGTCAGGAAGTTCTTCCTAATGTTCAGATGGAATCTCCTCTCTTGTAGTTTGAAGCCATTGTTCCGCCTCCTAGTCTCCAAGGAAGCAGAAAACAAGCTTGCTCCCCTCCCTGTGGCTTCCTCTCACATATTTATACATGGCTATCATATCTCCTCTCAGCCTTCTCTTCTTCAGGCTAAACATGCCCAGCTCCTTAAGCTGCTCCTCATAGGGCTTGTTCTCCAGACCCTTGATCATTTTAGTCGCCTTCCTCTGGACACATTCCAGCTTGTCAATATCTCTCTTGAATTGTGGTGCCCAGAATTGGACACAATATTCCAGGTGTGGTCTAACCAAAGCGGAATAGAGGGGTAGCATGACTTCCCTGGATCTAGACACTAGGCTCCTATTGATGTGCAGGCCAAAATCCCATTGGCTTTTTTGCTGCCACATCACATTGTTGGCTCATGTTTAACTTGTTGTCCACGAGGACTCCAAGATCTTTTTCACACGTACTGCTCTCGAGCCAGGCGTCCCCCATTCTGTATCTTTGCATTTTGTTTTTTCTGCCAAAGTGGAGTATCTTGCATTTGTCCCTGTTGAACTTCATTTTGTTAGTTTTGGCCCATCATCTCTCTAATCTGTCAAGATCGTTTTGAATTCTGCTCCTGTCCTCTGGAGTCTTGGCTCTCCCTCCCAATTTGGTGTCGTCTGCAAACTTGATGATCCTGCCTTCTAGCCCTTTGTCTACGTCATTAATAAAGATGTTGAACAAGGCTATACAACTCCTTATCTTGGCCCAGCTGGGCCAGATCACTCTGGGAACCGAAAGGAGTCTCCACCTGCACTTGTGGGATTTCACTATCTCTATCTAAAGGCACGTTCCTTTCCCCGGGGAACAGGCTTGATGTTTCTTCTTCAGAAGCCACACTATCAGCCCTGTCTGGAACATGTACAGGAATCTGTAACCCATCAGTCTCATCATCATCCTGCAGAAAGTCAGGCTCAGAAGGCCCAGCAGGCCCAAACAGTTCAGTTTCAGACTCAGACTGAGCCACAACAACATCTTCAGAAAGTTGCTCTGAGAAAAGCTGTGAAGGACCTCTCCCAAGAATGTGGCCTTGTGAATCTTCCTGAGACAGCTCAGGCCGCTCGTCTGAACTTAACTCAGGGTCCAGCAAACCCTCATCCCCATTGTCAACAGGCCCAGGCCCACCATCAGGAACATCATCCCCATTCCCATCCTGAACATCAGCTTGAGCATCAGACACAATCATAGGCTGAGCAGGGTGACATACAACACAGTGTTAATAGTAAAAAGCTACTGTGTGAAGCTCCTGTGAGAGAGAAGCCGTTTATCTGCATGAGAAAGAAGCCAAGCGTGGAAGCAAAGAAGGAAGTGTAAATAATGTATTTTTGTGTGTGTTATGGAAACCTTGTTAATGTAAATAGTGTTAATGTAAATAGATTTACCC